CCAATTCTAGGATTAGACAACTTGATATTGCAAAAATGTCCGCTTTTCACAAGTTAAATGAATTACATTTTACTTAATTGCAGAACAAAATTTACTTAGAACTTGACCAAATCAACATAAATTAAAATGAGAGATTCTTTTCATCCAGGAGATTAGAACAAAAAAATAAAATGTTTGAAAACAAGTGGTCTTGACAAAGGGTCTGGGAAATAAAAACCTCTACAGGTGGGCATGTAAATTGGTGAAGCCTTTTGATTTTCAAAAGGCAACTTGCAAGTATGAGACGTGCATACTTTTCAATCCATCTTGCAACGTCAAAGACTATCCTATGGAAAAACTCAGATGTGCACACTTTGATGTTCACCCCAAAATGCACTGACGCATAATTTAACAATGAAAAGTTATACATAAACCTGAATGCCAATCAAGAGATAAGTAAGTAAATAAATTAGGGTACATCTATGCTCTGCAGTTACTTAATAGACAGCAAGGTATATGTACACATATCCTGCAGAAAAATATCCACTAGATAGTCTAAAGTGGTTACATAACCATCTGTAATGTTACGTACCAAAGGCAGTGGTATACGAATAAATTTTTGTATGCAAATGAACAGAGAGGCCTGGATCAGCAGGTATCTGCCCAAATGTTAACTGTAGTTTTCTCTGAAACCATGAGTGGATTAGGGGAAGGGCAGGGGAAATTGTGTTTCATTTTACACTGTCATGTATTTGAGTATCTTAAAAGAAGACTCTATTAATGTGCTTCTTGGGTAGTTAAAATTTATTTTGGAAAAAGATGTCAGTGGGTGGTGAGCATATGGACACAGTAGACGTAAACCAAACCCATGTAACACACAACATAGAAGGAGATGAATTTAGGATGATATTGCTGTCGGGAGTAGATGCGTCAAAGACGGCTTTTATTATGCTTGCTTTTCAAGCTGGTCGCTACCCGGACATGCCTAAAAGCAGAAGGGAAGTCTTTCAATGTTCACCCTGGTCTTTGTATTCTCTCCCCTCCAAACACCTCACACAAAAGTTGAAACTGCCATGTAGTTGATCAACAAAAGTTGAAACTGCCATGTAGTATCTCCCTGAACTTCTGCGATAATTCTCCATTTCACACATAATTGCATCAATCCAGTTGATACGGGTGTTAGCGCTGCCCCCTCAAAATGGCAGTTTCCTCTCTGAAGACAAAGGGATCCTCTTGTTTGCCCCACTTACCTGCTGCCCCCAAAGGTTTGCACAGTGCTAAATTAAGTGATTCTCTAGAAGATATATGTACTTTGAGTTTTTTCTAAAAATAGAATCAGTAAAATAAGGGATCATATTGAGGGGGCAGAGCCCTCGCCATATCATTTTATTTAACCTTTGTTGGAGCCTATTACGTTTATGAGAGTATCATCAAGATATCCAAGAAATAATGAAGCCCCAGCATGGATCTTGAGCCGCCTGGAAGAAATCATTTGGCTAGAAATAACACCATCATACCGGGCATGAGGAATAAACTTACAACTCAGCTGGATCCAGTATGTAAGGAGAGATTTGGTGTACATATTTTAAATTCTCTCAAAGCAATTTCACTAAGACATTTCTTTTATGTAAATAAAATTCTCTCAGTGAAATTCTCCTGCAGTTAAATGAGGCCCAATTATACACTACTAATTTAAGCCTGCACACTGCATTCCAACTGTATACCTAATTACCCTATTTAGTTTGTTAATGATCAGATCTTTGTGAAGATATTCGCGTCTATCATTAATCTTTGCTCTAGTTAGATTTCTAGTTGTTTAAAAGAATGAATCCTTAGAAAGAATATACTTGTATAATTCCTTTAAAAGTAAAGGGATTTTTTATTAAAGAACCAAAGAAGCTCACAAAACTTATATATTGTATTTATTTATTTATATGATGAACAAGATGGTTTTGGCCACTGACATTTGAAAACAAATATTTCAGTTGGGAACACAGACAAAAAGAGTACACTGACAAAGAAAATAAGTCCACTCTCATAAGTGCATTTATGTGAATTGTGAAACGGAAGCTGACTCTAGTAAAGAGTAGAGCTGTTTCGATGGTGGGGGTTTGGAGTGGGGTGTGAATGTAAGGATTTCTGAGGAGGTTGCACTTCAGCGGAAGGTAGGAAGATGAGAAGGGCTTATTCATGGATAAGTGCAGCTAAGAACAAGGTTAAAGGAAAAGTATATATGAGGTGGGAAAAACTGTGGCAAATCCAAGAAACTGACACAAGATACAGTTTGAAAGTAGAATTGATAAGACATAGAATTGGCCTGAATGCCAGGATGAGGCAAAGGCGATGAGGACCAAGGTGGTTGCTAGGTCTTGGTGAGGAGCCCTGAACAGGTGAAGAGTCCTCCTGCCGGGAATAAGAACCAGGGGGTGTGGCACTGGCTGTCCATGGCTGACCTATTTTGGATTTTGGGGAATTGAAACTAGCCCCATTATAGAGATAAGGAAAGGGGAAGGAAGAGAATGCTATTGAATGTGCTTGTTGTATCAGGCGGACTCACATTTAGAAGAGGTACATCAGCGTTATTTCCTGTCCCCCAAGATTTCTGCATTTTGGGGCTGGAAGGGAGTGTGTATTTCAGGTTGATCGTCTGTTCCAGTTGTGGCTGCACAATACAGTGCTGATTAAAAGGCAATATGTGCAAGAAGGAAAAATTAAGTGAAGGAAGGTCAGAGCATGGCGCTTCAACCCACAATGACTGCTGACCTGGTCTGTGTTAGCAGCCCAAAAGGAATTTAAGACACTGGGTTTATTGGCAAAACACATTGAAAATTAACTGTAAAGTCTGTTTACCTGATACAGATGACATAGGATTATGGGAAAGAATCTGGAGAAACAGGAACCATAAAGAATGAAAATAGACACTATGTTGTGGCCACTTAATATTATGGGACAATGGTTTTTCACACTTTGGGTTCACATATTAATAGGTTGTGAAATCAGTTTCATGGATTGTAGCTTTATTTTTTTAAAAAATGAAATAGAAGAGCATAGAATGTATCAGTATGTATCAGTGATGATAAATATTCTGCAGTCTTGTTTCAGTACACCTGTGTGTACATAAGATTATGGGTGTGTTTGTATATTTATGTGTGTGCATTACTGAGTTCTAAGATAAAATGTCTTTTTTCTATGCATTTCTTACCGAGAGTCAGAGCAAAAAATGTTTGAAGAGCCTTTCTCGACATCTTAGAGATGGAATTGTTACTTTTCTGACTAGGCTTCCGTTTCAAAGCAAGGCTAATCGTCTTTAAGCTTCAGCTGGTATATCTGGGATTCTTAAAGTTCTCTCTTTAAACATTTCTGTATTTTAAATTAAAGATGTCTGCATTAGTAAGTCCCTTAGTTCTTATTCCTGGCAGGGGGACTCTTCACCTGTTCAGGGCTCCTCACCAAGACCTAGCAGCCACCTTGGTCTTCAACACCTTTGCCTCATCCTGGCGTTCAGACCAATTCTATGTCCTATCAATTCTATTTCCAAAATATATATAGTATCATTTTCTTGGACATGCCACAATTTTTCCCACCTCAAACACATGCTTCAAGACTAGCAAGTCTATAAGGTCACAGGCTTGGTTGCATTTATAATGGGAATAGCAGAGAAAGTAGTTTATTTTTTTTAAATGCAACATCGTTTGAAGGTTTTGGATTATGTTTGTTTCCCGATGACACGCGATAATGTCAAAGGAAACTGCAATGAGTTTACTGAGCCGTCCATACAAATATACATGCAAATATATGTACCTACGAGAACATCCAAGGGTAGAAACCATGTCAGATGGGGTCCCCCATGCCACTCCCACTCCACAGCCTTTTGGTTTTAAATAGTCTGACCCCATGAGAATCTTTGAGGCTGGCTTCCATGTCACAGAGCCTTGCACTGTGAGAGTAACTCAATTCCCTAAATGACTTTCCCAGATCTAGCTTATCACAAACTCCATTGCCTTGCAATATCCTTTGTAACGAAATGGTATTAATAAAATCATAGAGCAACTGCCCACCATATGCAGACCTAGTAATGGAATTAAAGGTATCTAAAAGGCTAATTCCTAATGAGAAGGAAAGGAAACATACCTTAAAGTAAAAGTGCAAACAACTGCAGAACAGAGGTAAACACTGTCAGTTGGATATACGTAAGCGCTGATGTAAAGAGAGATAGAAAATGATATATCTGGCCAGGCAGGTGGTTCACGCCTGTAATCCCAGCACTTTGGGAGGCCTAGGCGGGCAGATGACCTGAGGCCAGGAGTTCGAGACCAGCCTGGCCAATGTGGTGAAACCCTGTCTCTACTAAAAATACAAAAATTAGCCAGGCGTGGTGGCGTGCACCTGGAATCCCAGCTACCCAGGAGACTGAGGCAGGAGAATTGCTGGAACCCAGGAGGCAGAGGCTTTGAGCTGAGATCACGCCACTACTGCACTCCAGCCTGGGTGACAGAGCAAGACTCCCTCTAAAAAGAGAAAAAAAGAAAAGAAAAGAAAAGGATATATCTATGATGAATTCAGATGGAGTGGAACCCACTGATGGTATGCAGAAGATAAGATGCTACAGAGAAATGATATCCGGACACACGGTGAGAATTTTTCCTCTCTGTAAATCATAATTCTTGTGATTCTTTCAAACGGAAAGCCACAGAAGGTACCAGTTATCCACCCACGTACTTAGGCGCCTCCACTAGAATTCTCAGCATGTTTCTGCAGAAGTAAGATATCTTCACAACTGCTCTGACACTTCTTAATCTCCTTTTTCTTTTCTTTTTTTTTTTGACAAAGGAAAAGTAAACTACTGGCTTAGAGTCTTTGGAAGAAAATTGTATATGACTAGAATTTAATATTATTGTTTTTCTTTCATTGTATTGCATTTATCTATATGGCTAGTTAAACTGATCTTCCATTTAAAAGTAGTAACGTAATGCTTTTTTCTTTTTTTTTTTTTTTTACAATTACGTTGTTTTAAGTAAACAAGAATTATTCAAAACACAAAAATACTAGCACAGATGGTATTCAGTGATTGCAGATATCATAAAGACAGTTCATGAATCACCAACATTTGAGAAGCACTGTGTTCATGATGTTTCCTGGAAGAGGTGGGTTATACAATGTTTCTTGGAGAAAGGGATAGCAGTCTACTGCTAGGAGGGAGAAACGAAGCTACTAAGGTGGACAAGGAGACGGGCAGTTGGCTTTTCCTCTTCTTGGAGATCACAGCCAAGGAAGCACAGGAGAGGCACCCCCTGGAGGCGCTCCATGGCTGCAGGGCTGACATGGCCCAGGTAAGTGGGAGTTCTGGGAGGCTCAGGGGCTGGTGCCAGGATAGTGGTAGATGATTTTCATTTTCAGACTGTGAGATAAAAGATAGACGTAAGGGAGGCAAAGGTGAAATCGGGATGGTTAAAGCAGGGAATGCTGAGAGCAGAGCAAGGCAGGTGCTAAAGCTGTTACTAAAACTGGACAGCAGAAGGCCTGGCATGGTGGCTCACACATGTAATCCCAGCACTGTGGGAGGCCTAGGGGGGTGGATCACCTCAGGTCGGGAATTAGAGACTAACCTGACCAACATGGTGAAAACCCATCTCTACTAAAGATACAAAGTTAGCCGGGCATGGTGGAAAAATGCCTGTAATCCCAGCTACTCGGGAGGCTGAGGCAGGAGAACTGCTTGAATCTGGGAGGCAGAGGTTGCGGTGAGCTGAGATCGCGCCATTGCACTCCAGCCTGGGCAACAAGAGTGAAACCCCATCTCAAAACAAAACGACGACGACAACAACAGGACAGCAGAGATGGACGATGAGTCGGGAAAGCTAACCAGGCAGCGTGAGGCCAGGACGGAAAGAGCCACAGGGAGCTCCGCTCAGTTTTGCTACCGGGGATCTCTCAGGCTCACAACGGGTCAGTCCTCTAGGGAAGTTCTGGCCTCATCATGATCCTTCTTTCATCTCATTCCCCATGTCCTTCCTCTGTCCCTCCTCCCACTGCCATTTATTTATTTAACTGAAAAAGTACCAATCACCCACATATGCATAAAATACTCATCCATGTACTTATTTCTTAAAATTGATCATTGTTAACATTTGGTGTCATTTGCTTTATTTTTAATGAACGAAATAAAACTTTACAGAAAATGCTTTTTCTTTCTTCCCTCCCTATCCTATCTTTTTCTCCTAAAAAGCCCTATTATCAGAAATATTAGTGTGTATTCCCAGTTTTGATTTTTTATTTTATTACACACACACTCCCACACATAGATGTGGCAATGAACTTCACATAGTATGATTCTGTATTTTCTCTTTGTTTTTCAAACTTACAAAAGTATTTTACTATTTCTCATGGAAAAACTCACTTTTCCCATCCAACATTGTGTTCTCTTAAGATCTATGTTGATATAAAGAAATCTAGTTCATTCTTTTTAATGAAAATTAAGTATTATATTTTATGAATGTAACTCATGCTAACCATGGCAATAAAAGCTCCATCAAGCATCGTTTAGTTCTGTAGTTTGTTCAATGCTGTATTCCCAGCCCCTAGAACACATACAGAGTAGTTGCTCATTAAATGTTTGTCAAATGAACGAATCAATGAAACCACTCATTCCACTGCTGACAGGCAGTAAAACCGATGGCAACTTTTCACAAACCTTTACAAGATTCCTTGGCACCCACATAAGAGTCGTGCTAATATGTCTACCTAGAAATGTATGTATTGCGTTGACAGCTTTTGTGTTTTTGGTTTTGTAGGATTCTCTGAAATGTTGTGTGACTTCTTAAGGGCTTGGCACATGCTGTGGGGTGTTGATGTGGCTGAGGGGTTGGCTCTCACGTGACCACTGCAGAGAGGCTGTGGGCTGCCTGTGCACTTCATAAGCTCCTCGTCCCCCTCTGACAGCTCTTTGCAATGCTTTGTCTTTTCTTCAAAACTTTATATATATATATATATCTTTATATATATATTATATATATAAAGATATATATATATTTATCTATTTATATCTATATATTTATATATAGATATAAAGATATATTTATATCTTTGTCTTTATATATTATATATAATATATAAAAATATATAATATATATTTATCTTTATATATAAATATATTATATATAAACTTTATATAAACTATATGATATATAAAATTTATATAACATATATAATATATATTTTATATATAAATTAATTCATTTATATAATATATATAAAATTTATATATATACACATACATATATATTTTCAAAAACCTGATAAGCCTTTATCAGAAAAAGTGGGTGAATTCTTCCAAGTAATGAAATAACGCAAAGTATAAAATAAAGAGGATAAACAGATCCACAGCTAGGAACACAAGGTATCTTTGGCCCAATGGGATTTTGCCTTCGTGCTTTAAAGCACAGTCACTTTCTGTGCAAGGCTGTAAGTGTTCACCACGAGCTTTAGGTGGATCTAGCCCTGTATAAACAAATCGCTAGTGTCACTGGATCAACGTTAATGTACATTTCTGTGTTCAAGCAATATCATGGTCCATTAATTACGTGCACTGCAATTTAATGGCCTTGCAGATCTTAACACTGTGCTTTTATTTTATTTTCGTCTAGGCCCACCTCACCGCTAAATATAAATGGAATAAAGCATTTGAAAAAAAAGTCTAAAAATGTGTATGTTTATCATTGCAAAGCAATTCTTAATGGATTTTGTAAACGTTGCAAAATTTAAAGGAAAATACAGTCTGGACATTAAGCCTCCTTCCAGGTTTTCAGATTCCAAAGCTTTAGTTGAAGGCAGTTGAAGAACGTACAAGGCTGTTCTAGAGACTTCTGTGAATGTGAATGAATGTCATTTGCTACAAAGGCACCTGCCTGGTGCTGAGGAATTGACCTTGGAGCCGCAGCCCATGCAGAGCGGCTGCAGGAGAACACTCGGCGCCCCCTGCTGGTCAGACCGAGGTCCCGCAGCGTGGCACAGAGGGCTCCACGGCACACATGGTGTGGGAACCGCAGGCTGAAAAACACTCCCAGAAATGAAATAGTGAATGCCTGTGGATCTGGCTGCACCTTTACACTTCCTCGTTAATAACACATGATTTTTTGCTTTATTAACCTATAAGCACGTCCTATGTTTACACTTCTTGGGCTTTGATAGAAACTCGAGATCAGCAAAATTCTTTCAATGAAAACTTGTCAAACGATTTCTCCACTTAAAGTGGAAACAGTGATGTTTTTCTTGAACTCCACTCCACGTTTATTTATATTATTTTTAAATTTTATTTTTGCTTTAAAACCACCTAATTAATTTTCTTTTATACTATTAAGGTAAGTTTTGGTCATTTCTGTCATGAAATGTACGTCAGAGTACATTATTTGGAATTTTATTTTTCCATTTTTTTTCAGGTAGTTTAAAATAGTCAGTGAATCAGAAGTGAGATGTAGCAACTTCCATTTCTGACTATGCAAAAAACTAATTATTTTGAAAACTCCAGGTATAAGACACTTAGACATGCTACATAAATATAATATTGACTTAAACGAACAGCAGGTTTCTCAAGTAAGAAAAGTCCTCTGGGCTCTATAAAGGAAGAGGGAGGTGAGTACCTAACAGCAAAGATCTTGTTGATACTATCTATAAGTTCCCTGTGGCATTTGCACATTTAAGGGAAAAAAACATAGTTTAACAGCAATGAGGAAATGGGAAGCTGTTAGTCCTATACAAGTCCTACACAAGAGAAGTCTGCAGAAAGCTACAACTTCACTAAAAGATTGGACCTGAAAAAAAAAGAGCCTTTGCAAATACCCTTGCCTTCCTAGCCCAAGCTTTATGTAGGGATTATGTCTAACCATAGTACTCGCCTTGCTCTGGTTTGGGATTTGTATTCTCACTGTCTGCAGCGTCCAATAGACCTCACTCTAGAAAGTAACATATAGTGACTCCGCTTCTAAGGACATCTGGCAAAAGCAAAGACAAATAAATCTTCCCTGGAGGAAGGAGCACTGAGAGAAATGTTTACAGATGAAGCTTGATTCCTCCCTTCCAATCTTGAGCTTCCAATACCAAACCTCTAACACATTAGAGAACAATTTATCATAAAAAAATGGTCAGAAGAAGCAACAGAGTCCTCAAATAATGAAATAACTCAATACTGTTTACACAATAAGTATTTTACATGTTGTAAAACTATAGAATTGGATTAAAAATAAGATACATGAACAAAAGTATATCATAAAATATAAAAATATTAGATAAACAGTAAAATATGTGCAGAACGGACAGAAATAAAACACATAACCCTTGACATAAATATTTATATTAGATACAGTTGGGAAAAGCTAGTGAACAAGAAAATAAACTCACAGAAATTACTCAGAATATTTCCTAGAGAGAATAAGAAGCATATAAAAGAAAGATACATATGAAAGAAAGGTTAAGAGACTTGAATAAGAGATGGAGGAAATCCACATGGCTGATTACAGTTCAAGAAAGAGAGAGTAGAAAAAAATGGCAGAAAGCAATATTTGGGAAAACAATTTGGAAATTTCCCAGGATTGATAAGAACTAAGAAAGTTTGCCAATAGCAGGCTTGCACCTGGAACTAAAGAATGTTCTTTCAGAAAGGAAATTGTACTCAAGAATGAGATGCAAAAAGAAGGGTGGAGAAAGAACTAGGTATGCATGAGTAACCCTTAACAAATAATGAGTGTATAAAGTGATAATAATGGCAAATATGATTGATATAAAAATCTAGATGCATCTAGAACACTGGAAGACAATCACATTTCAGATGGGAGGGAGGTCACAAGAGAGGGTATCATGAAGTCATGTGTTCCTCGGTATGAGGTAGGTCAGCGTGCTGTATTTGTGGGTGAAGAAAATCAATCTCTTTAGTGCTTTTGACACTTTTCCACAAATTCCATTTCACCGACATCTTAACCCGGCAGGCATCTCTTTACTGTTTGAGGAACCAGACCTTGTTCTTTACAGTTTCCATAAGGCTCTCGTGGTCATTACTCTAATTAATCTTCATAGGAAAATCACAGGAGTTAAGGCCATTTTAAACCCCCCTCCTCCACTGATAGACCAGCTGTGTTCTTTGAAAATATTTGATAAAAGTCTAAGCATTGAAAACTTTACATTTTGGAAAGTGTGTTCAATCCTACTAGAACCTATTACAATCCATTCAAATGCACATACCCTATTGGAGTAGGGTGGTATCAATTCACCACTCTAGGTAAGCCAATTTTGCCTTTTAATTTCATTCCCTATATTTTCTCCCCACATTTTACCACTTAGCAATTGTTTACAAATTCCATGTAGAACATGCTTATTGCATGTTGGCTTTTCTTAGCAATTCTTACAGTAGATATAGTGTACAGTATAAATACCCTGTGCCATTTAGAAATGGGAGGGATACAAGATGGTAAGTTTACTCTTACCTTCAATGTAATTCAACACGTATTTAATAAAAGATATTCCTGCATAAAAGATGAATAAAAATCCCCAGTGTTTCAAGATAATTTGCTCTCTTCTTGAGAGTATAAAACGGTTTTCTCCAATGTACATTTTACTCATTTTGATATCTTCTGATAAATTAGTCTCATGTCATGCTGAGAAAACTTCACTTGTCATTTGAGCAAGGATATCATAAAGTCATTATAAATGTCTAGCATTGAAACCATCTTTCTTTCATTTCCTGGTATTAAATTTTAATTAGAGAATATTCTTTTAAGTAGCCAATATTTTATGAAGAGAAATAACAAAAATGAGGACCATTAAAGAAACAGCTAATGTTCTAAAAAAGACATCTGATTAGTGGGCACCACTTCTTTCTGGTACATTCCAAAGATATCCACTGTATTTGGCCAAACCACAATACATTATAGAAAATCTATGCTGAATTACCATAATAGGATTTTTCTCATTAATACTGTCCAGGGATATCGACTAAATTATTTGCTAAATTCTCCAAATCTTTTTAACCATATGGACCAAGTTGACAAAGAGATTACCATGTGAACCATAAAGTACATCAGAATCTGGATTTATCTGACCCAGGTTAATGAAAAGAGTGATAAACCACACCCTAAACTCTCATTTTTGAAAGAAGATATAGCCTGTTACCATCACAGAATGGACAAGTACTCTCGAGAAATCTTCCTGTACACTGGCTGACTTGTTTGCCTGCACTGCTCCCTACCCAATGGCCATGGCACGTGTTCATGCATCATGTAAGAGAAAAGAACAGAGATTTGGGGAGGATGCAAAAGTGAGAGAACAGGTGTGGACATGAGGACATGGGGAATAAATGAGAATGAATATATCCTAAGAGGACATATTGTGTGGCCAGAGCTAGAAGTCTGGTTGTTTATTCTCTTGGGGATCACCATCAGGCATCATTGAGAATAAATGTCCTTGGTCACCTGTTCATCTGTGACTACCCATCCCCCCCTCACTCCACCCCATCCCTTTCAAGTCTCCTGGAGCGGGAGTTGCATGCA